GCTGCGCGTCGAGCGCGAGGTGGCGATGACCCCCAGCGAGGCCGACGAGGCCAACAGGGTGCTGCCGCGCGGCTACGCGTACCTGCCCTCAGACCAGCTGCAGCGCGGCGGCGCAGCGGGCGCTGGCGCGGGGCAGCAGCAGCAGCAGCAGCAGCAGCAGCAGCAGCAGCCGGCCAGGCGACAGTCAGGGGCTGGCGGCGGCGGCAGCCGGTCTGGCAAGCGCCGCTGATGTCACCCGCGTGCGGGTGGACAATCAAGTGCTGCTGCTGCCAGCTGGCGCCTGTCCTGGTGTGCTCGCGATCTGAGGTGTCGTTGTCCTGTGTCGTTGAGCTCAACACCGGCCCGTGACCTAGCCGTGATGTGTAACCCTGCAATTACCAACTGAACGACACATCAGGTCAAACAAAACATGCGTCTATTGGCTGATCAGGGCAGGCGCGGACAGAATCGTCGGCAGCATATATAACAGAAGGACGACGTCACAAAATCAGTCATGGAAAACAGGCTCTAAATTCAAGCCAAACGAATGGGAAGTGCACTGTGATGGGCTGTTCGTTGTTTTGGGTCCAATGAGGGTTTATCGGAGGTTTTTTTTGCCAAACCGGAAAGAGATGATATCAGATCAAGATTGGCAAGGTTGCTTGCCCTGAAATCGTTCTCCCGGGGTGCAACTGCCGGCTTGCTCGTACCTGCAAAGCAGCCAACAGTGGGGAGATGGGTGCTTTTGGGTGCGTCGAGGAGAGTGTGTGTGTGTGTGTGTGCGCGCACACGCACGCACGCACGCACGTGCGTGTGTGAAGGTGCGTCCGTGCATATGTGTGCGAAAGGGGCGAGGCAGTTGCAAAAGCTAGGCGCACGCACGCATGTGTGAGAGCCACGTGCACGGGGACCTGCATTCGCTCACAGCAGTCCTCAACTTTGCGATGCGCACACAATACCGTTGCTCGGCCCCCACCTCACACGCGCACTCTCTCTTCCGTGACGGAGCCTATCTTCTCTCCTCCGCTCGTCTCTCCGCGCGCACCCAAGCTCGGCCAGAAGGCGCCCTTGTCGCCGCGGCTAGTACCGCGACGCCACGTAATCCATGGCGGCGGTCAGCGCGGCGCTGAGCGACTGGGCGGTGCCCTCCGCCTCCAGGTACCTGTGGCCCAGCATGGCCGCCATGTTGTGGTAGTGCAGGTTGCTGCCCTGGCCAAACTCCACGACTGCCCCGCGGTGGGGCCGCATCCAGATCTGGTTGGTCAGGGCGGCGCCGTGGATGCCGACGACGACGCCCGCGTGTGTGTAGAGCACGAGCTGGTCCGGGAAGAGGTCGTGGGCAGACGGGTCCAGGGACTGGGCGGTGGGAGGGGGGGCGTGCAACGGGGCAGAGAGGCAAGGGGGAGCTGCGTCATGGCAGGGGCAAGGGCTAGCTTCAAGTTTGCTCTGGGCAGGCGATGCGCTGACGGCCGCTTCGTGTCCGACACGGGGCGTGGCGTTCGGGCCTGAGTGATAGACTGCTGCATGCAGGGCGGCGGCCGGAGGGAACGAGGTCAACGGGCCCTGCTGCCATCCCCTCCTCGCCCTAACCAATGTTTGGTGGGTAGCCCTGCCGCCCTGCCCCCTCGCCCGCTCGGAGCCCGTGCCACCACCGCGCCCCCTGGCATAGCCACGGCAATCAACCCTCCCCCCAGACTGCGCACGTGGAAGTCAAAGGACACGTTGCTGGGCCGGCAGCCCTGCTGCGTCGCCACCTCGCGCTCCTCCTGCCACCATCCAAACGCCGGCGGAGCGCACGCCGCCTGGTTCCACCCCAGGACTGCCGCCTGCAGCGCCGCCACGATCCCGGCCTCCTCCTCGTAGCCCAGCTGCCGCTCGCTCTGCCAGCCGCTGAGGCCGCCGCCCGCCTCCAGGGTCCGCCCAAACCACTGCCGGCTGAGCCACACCACGTTCAGGCGGCGGTGCCCCTCCGCCGGCACGCGCCGCGCCGCGGCGCCCGGCCGGCCGCCCAGCATCGCGGCGACGTACTCCTCGCGCTCCGCCCTGGGCAGTATCTCGCGGAACAGGGCGCGCTGCCAGTGCGCCGCCGCCACCAGCAGCGTTGAGGGGCAGGTGTGGGGGCTGTCGATGCCCTCGTAGCCCAGGAACGCCGCCGCGGGCTGTGTGTAGTGGGCGTGGACCGCGCGACAGTAGCACCGCCTGGGGCCGCCCTTGCGGGCGTCAGCGGCGAGGCTGGCGGCTGGGTGGGGGTGCGACAGGCGGCTCCAGATCTCGGCAAAGGGCCCCGGGGCGAACCAGTCGGCGATGATCACCTGGTGGGTTGCAGGGTGGGGGGTAGGGGGTTAGAGGGCGGCGGTATTCTAGGAGGGAGGGGGAGACGCGGCGGCACGGCTGGCGGTGCAGCTTGTCACACGAGGGAAGTCAAATGGCAAGAAGACGGCGGCCTGCTGTACGGCGTGCAGCAGCTGGCCCCGCCCAAAGCCAACGCACGTGTGCCATGTTGCCCCGGACTCAAACTGCGGCTGCCCATCCATTTTGCCACCCCTGCACCGACCCTTCCCCCCTTGCACTCCCCTCCCCTGCTCCCCCGTTGTACGCCTCTCACACCACACCTGCAGCCCCTGCGCAAACGCCGCCTGGCCCTCAGCCGCAGCCACCACCGCCAGCGAGAGGAACGCCTGGACCAGGCTCTGAGTGAAGTGGTAGGGGTTGGTCGTGTCCAGCCGGCTGACAAACATGACGGTGTGTGGCACGGCGTCAGGGGCGCCGTCGCCGCACTGCGCTTCGATATCATCTGCGTCGACCTCGACCACGGGAGACTGGGGCTGTTCAGGGCGCTGATCCCTCTGTGCTCTCGCCCCCTCCCCTCCTTGACCAGAGCGTGTCTCCTTGAAAAGCAATCTTGTGCTGGCTGACGTGGCGGGTGCTGCAGTCCGACTCGCTGCCAGTGCGTTCGCTGCCGCCCCCGTCAGAGTCGCCGTGCTCGCATCTGCCGTCGCTGCGGCGTCGCGTCCGGCCTCCTCGGCGGCGGCCCACCGCTGCTGCTCCGCCTCGCTGACTGGCATTGCCTCTGCCAGGTGTAGGCCCCCGCCCTCCTGCCCCTGCTCATAAAGCACAGACGCCGGTGCCTGGAACCATGGCAGCTGCTCGCCGTCCAGGCCGCTTGATATCCGCTGCGCCCGCTCTGCATGTGCGTCAAGCTTGCAGCCGAGCTGCACCGAGCCGGGCCCGCCACGCGGCAGGTACGCGTCGTGCGCGGGGTGCCCCAACGGGCCCTGAGGGCCCATGAAGCCGCGGGCGTCCAGCACCAGGTTGGTGCTCACGCAGGCCAGCCCGCCGTTGCTGACCGGGTACGCGTAGCACTCGACGCGGCTCGCGCCTGAAAGCTGCCTGCTGGCGCCTTTGCACAGCACGCCCCGGCCGCGGGCCCATCCCTCCAGGAAGCCGATGCCTAGCTTGTCGTCGCATCTGGCTGTCACCTGCACGCCATGGCCGCGCGCGTCGGCTGACGCATAATCCAGCCAGAAACCAAAATCTAATCGACGGTCGGCGCCAGCTAGCGGCGCTGTCGCTGCTGCGGACTGCCCAGGCCCCTGGCCGACTGCGCGGAGCCCTGGTCTGTCGCCGCCGCTGGCCAACAGCAGGCGCGCGGCAGCGGCGTGGGTGTAACGATGTTGCAGCAGCGCCGTAGCGGCGAGCGTCACCACGGCCCAGGCAGCCAGCACCGCGCGGCGCCTGGCGCGAGCACCGCTACCCAGCAGGCGTGTGTGGCCTGCCAAGGCGCGTGCCGAGTGGACCGAGTGTTTCAGCTCATCATCAGGAGGCGCGTGCATGGTCCAAGTGAAGGCAGGTTCTCCTGAAAGACCAGCTTAGCTCATCTTCACTGGCGCAAGGGGCAGGACGGCTCGCTGTCGCAAGTGTTGCTGACCCTGCACTGACAGGCGAGGGTCCCACGATTTCCACTGACGGGCCAGACTAGATGGCAATACAGGCGCCACTGAGGGACACTTGGTATGGGTAGCAGCAGACCCCAAGCTCACCCGCCATCCTTGCGCGGATCAAGCGCGGGGCCCCTCGGATCAGATTTTCCCTCCTTTCGGCCGAGATCACGGAATTCTATGGTGTTTACTTTCCATCTGATTATGTTATGCTGTCATATCTAATATGATATGGCCCTACCGTACCGTAGATCTCTCCGACTCAAAAAGAACGGCACGTCAGACACTGTAGCATGGGTGGCTTCTGTCCGTATCTCGGCCAAATGATCGAGCATGCATAATACAATGTCGGTGAGCACGGGGAGGTGCAGAAACGTGGCAACTTGCCACGTTCAAGCACATCTGGTCATTATAGTCATGGCATTCGCTGCAGCATTTGCTGATTTGAGTCATGGCATGACGACCCTTTCTGCAGAAGTTCACTGCAGCATTACATTGCAGGCTCACCCCACGTGACCGCCCTGCCACTGCAAGTCACCATCCGCACACGCTTACCCGCCTGTGCACGGCGACGTTGGCAGACAAGGCCAGTGGTCAGCCTCCCCTTGTCTAGGCAGGACTCAGCCATGTCCATCGGTGCAAACTATGAACCTGGTGTGCACAATATCATACCAATGCGTAGCATCAGACCCCACCAATACCATTCCTACGTACAAGCTCATGCCAAAATCCCTCAAATATGCTACGTGTAGACCGAATCACTCGGATTTTGATTGCAACAGTGCCAGTGCAACAGCTTCGCCAGTGTCCAGCCTTCCTGGGTGTTCTGTTGTGCCACCTTTTGGGGGATTGGCATGTCTACATCCAGCGCCGAAACCTGATTGATTGCCCCGCCTGCTGCCCTGTTGCCACACTGCAAGGTTGTAGCCAATGACAGTCCAGCCTCAGTCTACAGGTGGTCCACTCTTCAACCAGTGGCCCTGGTCTGCGGCCGACGGCCACAGGCCAGCCAGCTGCTTCCATCATCTCTCCTGGCATTGCTCGTCTCTGTCTCTCTCTCGGCGCGACAAGTCGTGTGGCGGCTGGCGTAACCATTCACTCAAGCGTTTTCATCTCACCCCCTTGTTCACCTTCCCGTACTCGCCCAACACTATGCCTTCTTGACCGCCTAGGGCTTGCACAAATCTTGCAAACGGCAGCACAGAGTCACCGGCATCCGTCCATCGTTGCCAAAAACAGGCCTCTGCACACCTTGTGTCTGAATGTTTGGATGCAGCAGCCAGGCACGCCTGCAGGGTTGGCGCAAGCGGCCCTACGAACTCACAGGGGCAGCATCAGTTGCCTGCCTGCAGGAGATCGGGGTATGCCGTGTGTAGCAAGCAGCAGCAGCAGCAGCAGCAGCAGCAGCAGCAGCTTCAGCGGTAGTCACCACCAATGCGATATCGCCGCATGCGCCAAGCCTTCGTGACGGCAAATGACAGGTTAAAGCTGCCGACTGTGGTTATGGTGGTTGAGTTGATTGCTGAGCCACTGCTGCTTGTCCTGGACACATGCGTGCAATTTCAACACACCTGGATTCTGCACCTCTCAAGCATGCATATAAACCGAACGTTTTGTCCAGGCAATAATGTGAGGCGATTTGAGGCGATTTTAACTGACATATTGCTAAGTGTGCAGTAGCTGCTGTCACGTGTATCATTGCACGTGATAAGAAGATGTGGGGAAGTTGGCTTGTAACAATAACACGAGTCTTGAGGAATGAATTGAAAAGGACATGGCAGCAATGGGCACCTGGCACGTGTGGCAATACTGCCTCCCTTGCATGTCACAATTGCGACCTGTGTGCCGTGGCTCTGGTGACGACCAGCCACTGTACAAGCCACTTATCATAGGTATGCTCGTCACTGCTTGTACGCTCAGATACTCTTCCATATCAGAACTCATCTGAGAACATGCGCAAGGTTGACTGCGCCACTGGTGACGGCAGTGCACGTCGGTGACGGCAGCATGCCAAGTTGCCATCTTCTCTTCCTCCCCAGCGTGGGGAAGACAAGCTCTGGGCAATTTTGCGCATCAAGTTATCCAAGTTAAGCTAGCTGCAGCAACTTTGCTTTGCGCAGATCCATAGGGCCAACACAGCACCGCACACCAGGATGGGCAAGCACAAGGACAAGGCTGACAAAAAGGATAAGAATCCCAGCGCAGAAAAGGAGAAGAAGAAGCGGAAGCGCGACGATGTCGAGACTGCAGGTCAGCAGCAGCCGGCAGAAGCCACCCTGCACGCTCATAAGAAGCAAAATGGCAGCAAGAAGTCCGAGGACGTTGTAGCATCGGCAGCAGCAGCAGCAGCAGCAGTGGATGCGAGCGCCAAGAAAAAGAAGAAGCACAAGTCATCAGCGGCGGCTGGGTGCGCGCCGCTGCTGCTGCAGCATAGCAACGCACATGCGGTTGGTTTCTGATTATACGTCAACCTGAAGCATGTGACAAATCGGCGTGATGGCTCCTGTGCTGAATTGTGTGCTTCATTACCCGGCAAATCGCCTTGCCTCATGCAGGGAACAGCAGCAGCAGCAGCAGCAGCAGCAGCAGCAGCAGCAGCAGCAGCAGCAGCACCTGCAGGAGGAAGGGGAGCAGCAGCTACAGCATGAGGGTGCGGCAGCTGCAGGAGCGCGTCCCCGCCCGATGCCAGCTGCGCCCACGTTTGACCCCCTGCGCGATGGCGACAAGACCTTGGCGGCCTTCCGTGCCATGAGGGCGAGCGGCGACCCCGACCAGCTGCAGCCGTGCTGGCCCCTGGCGGGCAGCGCGCCGGCAGCCAAGCGACCGCTGGCGCCGATGGAGCGCGTGCTGGAGGGCAAGGCGGAGCTCTGGGTGATACAGCTGCCGGGCCAGGTGTGAACCGACATGCAGCAAAACGGGACGCTTCGGTGTGCGGGATGGCATCGCAAGTCGTTGCGATGCTGATGACACTCCTGTCGGAATCGGCAAATGACCATGTGCGCCTGCGCTTGCGAGCTTTGCAAATGAGGAGCTGACCTGGCAACTACTGCTTGCGCGCTCAACCCAGCCTACACCCACACAAATGCCCCTATGCCTCCCCAGATGGATGCGGAGGCCCTAGATGGCTGCGTGCTGCAGCTGGACGAGCGGATGGCCGCCAACCCTGCACGTGCGGGGGACATGGGCACGCTGGAGCTCGCAGCCAGCACGGCCGAGGGTGAGTGGCGTCTGACAGCGGGGCGCTCGATGGGGGCTCGAGGGGGGGGGGTCAGCTCCTGTGCAGCATGCCGCTGCAGGTCCGCTGCTGTCACGCAAGATCGGAGTGTGCGCCGGCGCCTCGTGCGGCGCGCCGCTGCACCATGGGTGTGGCCTCCTTTCGCATGACCCCGCCCCTACGGCGGCGCGCCCTGCAGAGCTGGAGCTCGTTCGGCGCTTTACACTGCGCCAGGAGGGCGCCGCCGCCTGCGAACCGCTCTTTGTGGCCGCGCCCACCGAGCGCTCGCGCGGCAGCCTGGAGCCACTGCGGCCCGCGCGGCGGCTGGTGGTGGCCGAGGACGTGGGCGCGGCAGACGAGGCGCTGGTGGCGCGTGCGCATGCGGAGGAGCCTGCGCTGCAGCTGTACCCGCATGCGATGCCGCCTGATCGCGGGAACCGGCTGTTGCAGATGGAGGTGGGCCGATTCAGGGATGGGAGGTTGAGGGACCCTGTTGGCAGGGCAAGCGTGAGAGCATGCTGTTTGCACAGTGGCGCTTGCGTACGTGAGGCACGCCGCTCGACCCGCACTTGCTAGCTGTGCACAGACGCTTTTGCCAGCAGGATGCGGCGCACTCAAGTGCTTGCACTGCAATGCGACATCGCAACACCCCTAGGGCCGCTTCCGACCGCCGCCGGTTGAGCCGCTCGCGGGCACATGGCCGCCGCCCGGCTGGGCGCCCGGCGCAGCTCTGCAGGAGCGCGACCGCCGGCGCGCCGCGCGCCGCAAGAAGGGCCTGCCCGAGGTGGACCCGCGGGACGATCTGGAGCAGCAGCGGCTGACAGACCTGCGTCCGGCGGCCGGCGCGCCATGGGGCGAGGCTGGCGGGCGGCCGCTGCCGCCGCAGTGGCGGGCGCTGCCGGGGGGCGGGCTGGGGGCCGTTCCGCTAGGCGATGTGGAGCAGGACGTGAGCGTGGCGTACCAATACTCGTGAGCGCCAGAGTGCCTTGGCGCTTTCCTATGCGAATGTCAAAATGATAACGGCTGCAGCGGCTGCTGCTGCTGCTGCCGCAGCATCGGCGCCGGCGGTGCTCCCCGTTGGGCTGCCCCGGTCCTGTCGTGCACATCGCTGCGACGCACACGATGTGTGGCCGCTGGTGTGCATTCTTTGTGCAGGGGGGGGGCTATGCATTGCTGTGCTATGTGTTGTCCCCTTGCATGTAACAAGAGTAGGCAGGTACCCTCTGTGACAGTGCCGTTTGAATTTTGGCACTGTGACGACGAGTCACTGGACTTGCACTGGAGTTAAGCAACGGCGCCGCCCTTGGCGGCCTCAGACCCAGCTTTGATCGCCTGAACAAAACTATCACATTCGTATCACAGTCCATTACAGCGTGCGTACAGTACCCCAGCAGACATGCAGCGCGCCATCACCCGACAGGCATGTGCTCAGAAGGCCACGCGGACCTACAGCCGTGGCTCCCGCTCAATGGTGCCTGCTTTGTGCCAGCTTGCAAGGGGTAAGCAAAGGGCCGTCGTAGATCAGCTGGTTCCGATGGCTTTTGCGAGACCTCGTTTCTTCTATACCTACGGCTTTCTCACTGCCCTATTTTTGGAATTCTTGCCCGTGTATAGCTCGTACGGTGCCGAGGCAGGCGAGGCTTGTCATTGCGGCGATGGGCCCCGCCAGCGCGACGCCCGCTGCGCCCGCTGCTGGCGAGGACGCATCCAAGCTGTCCCATGTGCAGCAGGTTCAGAACGAACTGGGTGAGTAAATGCAGAGACACCATGTTGGTGCATGCGTGCTCAGGACTGCGCGCCCGGGCTTCTGTATGCAGTGTGCATGACCGCGCCCACCCCTCTTTCTCATCACGCAGTGGTGCGTTGCGCGCAGCCCATGCTGCATTTCCGCCCAACCCCCAGCCGCAATCCCCTTGGATTCAACTCAGCATTGTATCCGCCCCTGACGCTTTGCATCCCAAATGTGCACAGGCAAGCAGCAGGGCCGCAAGCTCATGGTGGCGCAGACCGCCCCCGCGGTGCGCGTTGCCATCGCCGAGACCCTGGGCCTGCCCCCGGGTGCCGTCAAGCCCGGGCAGCTTGTCACAGGCCTCAAGATGCTGGGCTTTGACTACGTGTTTGGTGAGCAACATCGGCAGGAAAGTCGGGGCGAGGATTGTTATGGTCAAGTGGCAGTCCAAACATATACTGCGCGCCGCTGGCGCCAGCAATACCACAAACCGCTGGATGGTGACTTGTTTGTATAGGCAATGCCTGGGTTGCCACCCTTGAACCTCACTGCCGCTATCTATCGCGTCAACCTCAGACACCCTATTTGGCGCCGACCTGACCATTGTGGAGGAGGGCACCGAGCTGCTGCACCGCCTGGTGCGCCGGGAGGGCTGGCAGCACGGGCCTGCCCGCAGTGGCTTCATGATGCAGGTGTCGCGCATGCCGGTGTTTGCGCGCGTTTCAGCAGCTCGGTTCAGGGCCCATGCATGTCTGCGGGGGCTCTCCAGCACTCCATCACATCCCTGTCACGCCCTTGCGACCTGCACTCGAACGCACTCCCACAGGAGGCCAAGGCGGCGGAGGCCGCGGGCAAGCTCACGCCCGCCGAGGACGGCCACGCGGTGAGCTCCATCCTGCCTATGTTCACGTCCTGCTGCCCCGGATGGGTGTCCATGGTCGAGAAGTCCAACCCAGAGCTCATCCCCTACCTATCAAGGTAGGGGGCAGGCACGTTCGCTGGGTGCAAGGGGGGGATTGTTGAGTACGCAGGCGTTCCAACGTGCCTCACCAGGCAGGTTCAGCAAACGCGTCTTAGCAAGCCTGAAGGGGTTACTTGAAGCGAGGTGAGGGGGTCGCCTGCTGCTACTGCTGGGTTGCTGCTCCCGCCAGCCACCTGCTCCCCTCTGACCGGGTCCCGCTGTCCCCCCGCTTCGACCTCTCCGAACCCCTCGACAGCTGCAAGAGCCCCCAGGTGAGGTTCCAGCTGCCGGCCACTGTGCACATGTCTGGCTGTGCGCGATCATCCATCCCTGCCCTCAAGTACCTGCCTCCTCCCGTCCTGACGTTTGCACCCCTCCTTTTGGAATCCCTGCCTCTCAACCCCTCTCTTCATC